AACAGGGTATGCAATTTCACTCAAGTTCCAAGTTCTTCCTGAGTTTCCTGTCATATTCAGGGTTTCTACTTTTGTATTGACCGAAACTGGTTATTATGCATGGTCTTAAAAAAACGATACGCGAGATGACATGATAATTGAAACAGGAACTCAGTGCAATAAATTATATCTTTTGTCATAAACAGGGTCTACGAATTCGAATTTTTTTGTCATCAACAGGGTACCCCTTTCAGAATCTCAGCAGAACACCCCTACCCAAATTCTGGCGGAGCCAGAAAAAAATCTGTAGTAGCCAATTATTAGTTGTATACTGTATACATACTATACTTTTTACCTTCGGCAAAATGTTTTCTTTCTTTTTTTGAGTAGTATGAGAATACACATAAATTGAGTATTGTGTCTTCTCATGTACAACTTTTAAACAAAGAAAAAATACTCTAGGAATAAATGTGCTTTGGAATGGGCTAACTCTATGCCCAAGTAAAAGAGGTCTAGTGAATACCATTATTTATATTGGCATGGTTATTTCTAGAAAAACTGACAGCTTGTTGTATTTTTCCCCAGTGAGTATACCTTCTAATGGTGAATGCCAAGGCTTTGGAACATCACAAGTGAAGAGCTCCCATTGTTTGCGATCTGGAGGTTTTGTGTAGGATTCTTTCTGAAGTGGTATCATTCCCCTACAAGTGAAAAAGCAAATGAATTTAGCACGCTATGGTTCCTGTATCTACAGTATTTCAGCACAGCACTAAAGAATTCATATCAGGGGTGGATGCAGGATAAATATTTCAATTATAAACAATATTAAATTGAAATTTGAGCAAAAAAAATTACGTCCCAAACCCCCTCCCCACCCCTGCATCTGCCTCTGAGTTTATTTTACTTACTTGTGTTGCACAGGTAGCAATGATTTGGGTAGCCTTGGGATTGTCGTAGGCTCCCTAAAAATTAGTTCATCTCTCATGGGACCTTCTTGTCTGGGTACTGAGTTGGGCGGCAAAGGATTATGCTTGGATCCATGACCCCAAACTTTGGGGTACCCTTCACATTCCCAATAGGTAGCATACTCCTTCTTTGGGTATCTGCTTAGTTCATGTCTGCAATTCAAAGATATTTGAAATTAGAATCAAATAAAACTCCCACGACTATTAAATAATTTGATGTGAATGACTAAAAAGGGGATAGTATTGTATGAAGGGGGTGGGGGGAGCAGTACAATATTGTCAGAGAAACATGCACCAGGAGAAGATAATCATACAATTTGTCATTGTGAATAAATATGGTTTTTATAGTATAGTAGATGTCATTTTGTTTTCATGACATTTCAGAAAATATTGAAATTTTTCAAGGGCACATGCAAACCTATGGTGTATCATAGAAATGCCTTGATTGACGCCCACCAAAACCTTACTTAGCTAGTTTGTTGAGATGACAAATATTGTAAGATTTTGCATGTGTGATTGGGGAGCACTTGTAATAATAGGACAGCAGATTTCAGCAGATATTATCATAGTGAAAAATACTTGTGTAATCTACAGCTGTTAGTCTGTGTTTATGATGCCCTGTGGGCATGATTGTACAATTTTGACACAAGCAGTACACAGCCAGCTGCACATGCATTGAGCGGTTGCATAATTAAATGAATGCTATGTACTTATTGACTCAGTGGCTCGAAATGATGGCATACAGACCAAGCGCAGTGAGGTCTGTTCAAATGAATGAGAGCCAAATATTTTCCAGTATGGCCCGACCTAACTAAGTCAATAAGCATTTTATGATATGACCCTCACGGAAAAAAAAAAAATTAAAAGAAAGTGGCAGGTTTTGAGCAGGGCCGTACGGATTCGTACGGCCCTGCTCACACCATTTTCCTGAAGGTTTTTTTTTAAGAGCGCACGCACGGGCAAATACGGGTCATATGATAATAATGATTATTTACTGGTAATCGCGATCGTGACTTCTTATAGTTGTAGCCCCTATTTCATTTCATAGTAATATTAGAAAGAAAACTACTACTAAAAAACCCAGTCATTCCAGCTGTTAGGTATAGCCACTAATCATGCGAACACCTGGAACTGCCCAGCTATACATAATGCACATTATAAACTCTCCATTTTAATTTTTACAGTGCAACGTGCAAAAGTATTACCATATTATATTAAAGCATTTGCATACTTCTACACACAGGTATTCCTATACATGTTTTACCAAATGAGAAGTAAAACCTAGGCCTCATTTGGCAACAAAAAGCCAGTGCATTGAAGTATAACAATGCAAAAAAAAAAGTATGACAATGCATTACATGTCCCACTTTTTTGCATTGCACTATTAGTAGTACTATAAAACGCCTAATAATATTTTGGACTTCTGATAAATGTTAATGCTTACACCATGTGAACTGAAATAAATATTTATCAAAAATTGAGGTTCAACTTACTTTGTAAATGCTCTATGATCTTTCTGTGTAGTTGTAAGATATGGATCTGCATGATACGTTAGAATGCCTCTGTTTCTTGGGTAGAAATTCTGGCCAGCAATGCTCCTATTGATGGTTGATGGCACTAAACTCTATAAGAATTGATAAAAGTAGATTAATATAATAAAGGTTTATAAAACCTTCAATGATATGCTGTACAGTCATGTTTGTGCACAATAGAGGCTTTGCAGCATCACTTGTATTGCTGGTGCCTATAATCCAGCTTGGACTGCCTGTGGTTAGAAGCCATACCAATAAAATTTCTTTGCTCTTTGGAATTGAATTCTTTCTCATGTAAAACAATTGAATGTATTCTTCCTGCCATAACATGGCTGCCATCACATGATGGTCTAAAGCCTCTATGTTAGATTATCGTAAAAAAATGCAGGTAATAAGTTTACAGTAAATATACAAAGTGATCAAAATCAATCTTATTTCTATTCAACTGGGGTCAATGATATTAAGTTGTGATAATCTAGTACTCAATAAATTAACTGCCTGGCGAATATTAATTTTATTTAAAAAAATTCAATATTACCTTGCTGTTTCCTTCCCTATGATGATCTGACAGATTGAATGGCTGTATTCCAGCATTGAACTTGGTGTCCAGATTGACACCCGGTCTCCCTGTGTACTCCGCTTTCATCTCACTGCATTGAAAACCCATTGTTAAAGGCCGTCTCCATGGCTTTACCTTCAACTTAAATTATGAAAAAAACATTTATTACTGCTGTTTTTGATATTCTGCGAACTTCAATCATTTCACTGGCTTGTTGTTGTGAAATAGACCTATAGCTACCTTTGTATGTTAATTGCGCATTTCAAATCATGTGATGCTATTAACCTGATATCGATGTTATCTAGGGAAATGTATCTTTCAAATATTTCATATCCAAATGAATATGAATAAATAAATTTCTGGAAGATAAAGCAATAATTATCTAGAGAAAATCATGTAAACAATATCACATGATTTGAAACAGGCAATTTACATACAAAGGAAATTATATCTATAATTGGTTTTTCACTGCCGCCAGTTGAAAATATAAAAGGTACCGACTGATTATTTTTGATTGACAGTGTAGCAACAACAACAACAACAAAAAAACAGATTTCAGTGTGCAGCTTGAAACTACCAAGTTTGCAAAAAATTGAAAACCCTAGTAAGCTAAAAAATAGTATGACAGGGTAATATAACAGCTATCATAGTAGACTTACATGTAATACCTTCTTATTTATATGACGAGTCAGAAAAGTTATTCCAGCAATTTTCAGTGTTTTGTGATTAACTTAGTTTACAGTTCTGTATCTCAATAAGATGCTAAAGGAATTGTAGAATTTGCTGTTGCAACAAAATATGGTTTGAGTGAAGACCAACAAAGTGTTTCCATGAAGGACTCAGCCATATTAAAGTAAAATGGGATGGACTGGATTTGAAGGAGCTCTTTTTTAATGCTGGCCCAGGGTTGAAAAAATAAATATAAGCACTACCTCTTCCAAGTTTCCATTCAGGAAATGCAAATGAGGTGCAAATGTATGTTATATATACAGCCCATCTCTTTTTATATATTAAGAAGTTCAAAATTGTGTGACCCACTCCCTAATTTCATCCCCTTTCCAAAATATAATAATAATAATATAATATAATATGATCTATATAGCGCCTATACAAGTCGGCTCTAAGCGCTGTAAAATATATATAAATTATAATTCAAAAGCTAGTTTAAACAAATGAGTCTTAAGGTCTTTCTTAAAAGTTTTTAGACATGAAGTGTTTCTAAGAGGAGACGGTAGTGAATTCCATAGAACAGGAGCAGACACAGAAAAACAACGATAACCATAAGATTTAAGATTGTACGGACAAGTAACGAGAAGCAGTTCCTTGGATGAGCGGAGAGTTCTTTTAGGTTTATACACAGTTATGAGATCAGACAAGTAGACAGGAGCCAGAC